AGGCCATAGATGCGGGGGGGGGGGGTGGTGGTGAGAGGATCCACCAGACAGAGTGGGGAACAGAACAAGCAGACTGACTGAAATACACTGCTGAGGGGAGCAGCAGGCGAGTCAGGAGAGGTCTGCTCACCATGTGGGTTTCTCCCTGGCAGGCCGGGGATCGAACTCGTGCTGCATAGGCTGTAGATTGCTTCACTGTGCGGTGCTTAACCCCTTGTCCCACCAAGGAGGCCCTATACTCACTCCTTACTTACTCTTTAACCACCTTAACTCAACAAACTCCTCTTTCTTATGAAGACCATCCCCCCAACTTTGACCCTTTCTTGGGGCATAGGTAGAAAAGAAACCTGCAACTGTACATCCTGAATGGAATTCTTTGATCCCAAATAAGTGTCCGATAGGTCTTTATTTTTAGGTTAACACTAGCGTACACAGGATTGTAAAATCAAGGTGTAGAAGGGGACTAGCTTACTTATAACAGTTTCTGACGGAGTTTTGTAGAGTGCTGGTCCTTGGGGTCACTCTGGGAAAGGTTTCCCCAGAGCTTCCGTTTCGGTTGCACATGGCCAGTTTATCCACGAGACAGAGACGAAATGATATTTAAAGAACAGGTTTATTAGAAAAGGGATAGGATAGTAAAAAACACTTGCATAGACACAAGCGGTCAGGAAGAGTTGCCCCAAAAGGGACAGGTTTGCTGAAGAGGTCTGCATGGTTTTAGAGGCCTGCATGGTTGCTGGCAGGCGGCCCTGCGGAGAGCGGCCTCCGCTGAGGTCAGTGCAGAGAAGACCTGGCATGGGATAGGCCATGGGCAGGCAGGAGGCTGCTGCTCTGCAGAGGGAAAGTGTTGGTGAAAGGAAGCACCTGCATAGTGACAAGTGGGCAGAAGGAGTGCTGCCCCTGTGTGAGGGCTGTGTTAGGTTTTCTCATCTTCAGGGAGGGGCTCATCTTTGTGTGTGGATGGTTTGTGTCCCTGACACTCCCTATAGCAGTCTGATAGTTTCTGGGTATTGCGCCTCCTGATCTGTGTGTTGTTGCCTAAGGGTCTTGGTTTCTATAACTGGGCTAATAGACTACGCTAATCCCTTCTACCCCTACCTCCTGTGGGAGTTAGGTTCCTGACCTTGTATCTCCTTTCCTCCATTAGTTTTCCTCTCAAAACCTTGCTCTTCTTGCCTGTGGTGTGGTAAGAAAAACATTTTTGGATAATTTATTGACAAGGTCAAGCCCACATTTTATTACAATGATGGGTGCAAGGAAAAAAGATCTCTTGTAGGCTAATAAAAAACTTTATTTCTGGTAGGGACATTTTGTAGAGGTGTTATTGGACAGGGAGAGGGGCAGCCCAAACCCTGCAAACCTGCCTATTCTAAATGGGTTCTGCCATCCGCCACATCAACACAAAACATATGAGACTTTAATGGGAAGGAACTTTAATAAAACTAGGAAACAATACAGGAAAGGCAAAGAGTCTAGTTTCTAAATAAAGCACCCAAAGTTACCCATCCCCTCGTGGGTAAAAGTCCATCCATATGGGATCGGCCCAGAACAAGGCCCCAAAGCCTGCTAAAAGTCTAAAGCATCTTCCAGTGGGGACCCACAGAAAAGGGTCACAAACAACCGCACAAGTCCGGAAGGAAAAGAGCAAAATCAACATCAAGATAAAAGCTGCCATTGTCACCTCCCCACGGGTCTCACCCACATCTGTGTCACCCAGTCCACGACCAAAAGACACGCAGTTTCTTCACGTGTCTCTAGGCTCCATGCGCCTCTTCCAGGTCTCCTGGCTCCATCCTGCTTCCTTCCTTAGTCTCTTCTGCCGCTTCTCCTCTTCCTGCTCAGCTCCACCCTCCCTTGGGTGGGGCAGGGAACCTCCCCCTTTCCTGGGGACCACCCTGTTACAGAGGGTTTACAAAGAAAAGCTCTTCTGGTTCAAGATCAGGAAAATATAGCAGACACTAGTTTCCCTAAACAAGTTTCATCCCATCAAACCTCATTAGAAATTAGATTAGGCATTTTTTTTCCGGAATGCTAATTTCTACCCTGAAGATATCTGTCAATTAAACTTAGAAAAAGCTTATGTCCCACACCACGTTTCGGACATTTTTTGCCCTTTTATAGCAGGATTATTAAATCACGAGGTGATCTGGCTCTGGTGGCACTGCCTCCAGATTTCTCTCTCTGGCCACAATGGTTTTTTTCTTTACGGAATCTGAATGATCCTTGTCTTCTCCGGGTCTGAAATAATCTATTTCCTCTGCTTAGAACTTTTTCTTCTCCACCCTCTTTTCTTAAAAAATTAAACAACTCTAGAAACCCTCCATTCCCCATATAAAAGAAACCCCCTTTTATTCTTTAGCATCAGTTTCTTTTCCCTTGGACATTTTCGATTGTTAAACTCCAGTAAGATAGCAGCTATGTTCCCACTGCCCATGACAGAGCTTGTCACTGTACAAGGACCTACCAAAGTGCCGAACCAATAGCTTTGGATGTGAACCGGACTGAAGGAATTTCGCAGATGCCAATGGAATACCCCCCTGAAGAAAAATCTTGCTGCACCTACTGTCTTTCCTCTAATCCTATCATCTCGACTCAATTTTACTTAAATACCAGATTATCAGCGTTCAGTGAATGGGACTCATAACTCCTCTTAGTATACTAGGGAAGGCGAAAAGATGCTAAGTTTGGACCCGGGTCATTGGCTTCTATATCGAGCATTTATTTAGAGCCTTCCACAAACGATCCTCCAGGTTCTTGAACTCCCCACAACATACTTCTGTCCTCTCATTCTCCTTCCCCCCCAGGTCTCAAATGACGCCATCTCCGGGCCAGCTCGGTTCAGTCCTCCTGCTTCCCCGGAAATCTACAATTCAAGGCATTGGGCTTCCAATTTGGGGTTACAGTTTCTCTTTGGAGCCCGAACTCCTTCCCTTCCTTTCTTCCATCAAAAACTTTCGGCCCTACCCGCTTTCCCTCCAATTAGAACTTTCGTTTCTTCCCGCTCGCTCAAAGGAGAATTCCTAAAGTGGCTTCCTCTCCTAATAACGCCTAACCTCGCCCTTCGGTTTATCCCGTCTAAATCCTATTATTACCCACCTGCCTCTCTCGCCTGCAGTTCCCACCTCCCACCACCCACCCAGACGCCCCACCTCAGGCTCTCTCCAGATCTCCATTCATTTCCCCTCCACCCCCAGTACCGATCCACCTCGGCTATTTCCGGTTTCCAGCCTTTCTCTAGCCCCACCCACAACTCCCACCTTCGGCACTTTCCGGCTTGCCTATGTTTCCGCCCGGGCTCCCGCTCTGCTCCAATCGGCTTTTTCCGCCTTGCCTCGGCCGTCCTCTCCCCCTTCGGGTTTTTCCGCTGCCCTTCGGACGAGTGGTCTGAGCGCCTCTCCTCCACGTGACACGGCCTCCGCCTCTCCTCCCCGTTCCCCCTCCCACCTCGCCCTGCCTCTGCCTCCCGGCTCGTCTGGGCCGAGCCGCCATTTTGTGTCAATTTCTGACTGCGGCGGGGCCGGGCAGCCGGGGCACCTAGGGCGGGCGGACTTGACAGTCGGCCCGTCTCCGCGGCCCGTTTCTTCTCTCCCTAAAACCTTTTTTCCCCACCCCCACCCCCCCGCTCGCTCTCCTCTTCTCCCTTTTCCCCTTCGCTTGCTCCACCGCGCGCGGCCCGCGCTAATTACACCCAACCACCCATCAGTGTCCGTGTCCCCCGGGTCGTCAGCCCCGGGACCCGCGGGCGTGTGTGTGCGGGCTCTCGCCCCGATGAGGGCCCCGCGCCCGTGAGCGAGTGACCCCAGGGGCGGGCTGCGGAGAAAGCAGGCGGCGAGCCGCCGGCCTAGGCCGCGCGGCCTACGCGGAGGTCGGCGCAGAGGTGATTCCGAAACCGAAAAAATATATACCCATTCCTATTAGGAGCCCTCAGAGCTGAAGTGTGCCCTTCCCGCCACGCCCAAGCAGTCCTTTTTCGTGCATTAACATCCCCTCCCCCCCAAAGGAACTATGGAGGCCGCGCCCGGGACCCCCCCGCCGCCGCCATCAGAGTCGCCGCCGCCGCCATCGCCGCCGCCACCATCAACGCCTTCGCCTCCTCCGTGTTCCCCCGACGCCTGCCCGGCCACCCCGCACCTCCTCCACCACCGCCTCCCGCTCCCTGACGACAGGTCAGGCCCCCGGCCCGGCCGGGGCGGCGTCCCCGGGGGGAGGAAGAGGAGGAGGAGGAGGAAGGGGGGCGGCCGCCATGTTGGGCCGGGCGGCGGAGGAGGAGGAGGAGGAAGGGCGGGGTCGGTGGGTGTCTCTCGCTCGCTCGCTCTTTCTCGCTTGCTTTCTCTCCCGGCCTCATGCGTTTCCCCCCCCTCGCGGCGCTCGCCCGCTCTCCCTCGCTCTCGCTCTGTCTTTTTTGGGCGCCATGCTGAGGGGAAGGTGAGGAGGCGCCCCCCGGACCCCCCGCGCCCGCCCGCCCGCCCTGGGGAGGGGGCGCCGGGGGGGGCTGCGGAGGCCCACGGGGGTCCTGGCTGCCCCTGCGCCCGGAGCTGACCGCCACGGGTCCGCCCGCCCGTCGCCTGGCTTCGGGGAATGGGATGGGGGAGGGGTTCCCGGACCCTTCTGGGGGGATAGCGAGCCACAGCCCCGCTCTTAGGGCTTTGGAGTCGGGGTCCCCCTGTCCCCGGCAGTATCCTTTCTCCTGGGGGAGGTGTGCCCTACCCTGCTTGGAGAGGTCCTCTAGTTTCCTTAGGAGGCAGAAAGTGGGGTTTTGAGCAGTCCTTTCTCCATCCTTCTCATGGGGGGGTCCTTTTGGTCCGGGCGCTCTGGCGCTAATTTTTTTTTTTTTTTTTTGGCGGGAGGTGTTTCCTCGCTGTTCCTGAGAGGGTAAAATTGGTGGTGGTGGGGGGCTTTCTCGCCCCTGATGGAAGCCCCTGCCTCTTTTGCGGGAGAAGACCCTTCCCCATGTTTTTCCTTAAAAGCAGTGGGGGGGGTCCTCTCGCTCATCGTAAGTAGGTGATGCGTTTTTTGGGGGGACCGCGGGTGAGGTTTGGTTCCCTGCCTTGGAGGGGAGAGGAAGTTGGTCCTCCCCCCTTTCTCATGGGGTTCCCTCCTCTTTCGGGCTAAAATCGGGCGCCATCCCTTCCGGGAGAAAGGAGGTTTCCTTGTGCGTTGGCAGGGGGTCAAAGGGAGCGCCCCCTTCCCTTTATTTTAAAGTGCGAAATGGGTTCCCCCCACGCCCTTCTCTGGGGAGAGATAAAGAGGTCAGCCCGGCAGCGCGTTTCAGGAAGGGTGTGGGGCCCCTTTCCCCCCCCCCGATCCCGCATAAGGTATGGGGTGCAGGACTCGCCCACCCTTTCCTCGTGGGGCAGGGGAAGAGGTGGCTGGAGAGTGGATTTGGAAATGGGAGGAGGAAAGCCAGTCTCGGAGGGAGTGGGGGTGGGGAGGGGAAGAGAAGGCGCTGGACAGATGGCCGCCCCGTCGCAGCCCTGGCTGGGGAGTCGCCGAGGACCCTCCCCGAGACAGGGGTCTTCGCTAGGGCTTCCCTGCCAGGCACCACTGCCCCTTCTCCCCACTCCCACCGCCCCTTTTCCCTTTCTCCTTCACAGACCACACTTTGCCTTTTAAAAGAAATGCCACCCACATTCAGAGACACAAGTGCAGCAGTTTGGTGAGCTTTTACAAATTTTTGTTTTGTTCTGTTCTGTTTTTGTTCTAATTAAATGTATCGTCCTGGGGATCGCAGCCCATCGCAGCCTGACTCCAGTTCAAGGAAATAAACAGATTAGCAAAGGTCTGTTCGCTAAGCCCACGTCGGGCTTCCGGGCCCCTCTGGGGGGCAGGTGCATTACTCAAAGGTGCTTACACGCTTTATTCGACCTCTAAGGAGTTCTCTTATGTCAGAAGTGTATGTCTTACAATGGGTTGGGATGGTAAGTAGCCTCTTTTATTGAGTAATTCAATTATCTCCCTCTTTCTGTCCCTTTTCCTGCCTGCCTTCCTCCTCGCCTGTAGACCAAAAGTGATGCTTGAGAGAGTGAATTTATAATGTTCAAATCAGGATTCTAACCCTGTTGAGCCCTTTTAGACTTGCACATCCTTTCAATGTTTAATTTTTTTTTAATTATATGTACACAGTTTTCTCCAAGGAAAAAAGTGTTACTGTAACATGACAAAAACCTATGTAAAAAAAGGCCCCTGTTTTCAGGCCCTTGGTGACCCTCTTGCTATTTCAATCCATGGCTTTGTCTCCAACCTTCATCTTTGAAGAAAGTGGGCACTCCCAAGCCCAGTTGTAGGAGACAAGGTTACTGAACTTGGTTTATGATATTTGCATTCAAGTTAATGTTCTCCCTCCCCCCACCCCCAAGATTATGGTTCAAGTAGATTCCATTTTCTCATTTTACTCCAATGTCTCTTATGGTGATGGACGGTTAAATTAAGCAAGTCATTTGTAAAGTACTGTTTAAGCACCAAATCTGTAAACTGTGTCAAGCCCCAATCTCCTCTGCTTGTCTGCACTGTTCCTTTGTTCGAAAGCACATGCCTGACCGTGAAAAGTTGATGCAAACGGTGTTACACGCCCAGTCATGGTGGAGAGAACACTTCCTCCAGCCCCCCCCTCCTCCAGACCCCTGTCCTACACGTACAAGGAAAAAAACAGCCACAGGAATGACTTGCAGAACCAAACACGACTTCCGATGTGTTTTACAAGCATAAGTTCTTCGTTAAAAGACAAAACACGCTGAAGGCCCATTTTTCCCTTTCGCCCATCTTTGGTCGTGACAGTGTTGGAGAAAACTTTTTAACACACAGCCTTCCTCCCCTCCCAAGATCTTGTTTCTTTTTTCCATTCTTAGGAGGAGGGGAAAAGTTCACTCCCATTTGGAGGAGGAAACATGTAAACTGCAACTCAGTGGATCGTTTGTTTTGTTCTTCCTCTCAATGTGTTCACTACTGAACTGCCCTAAGGTGGTGGTCTTTAAGATTTGTAAAAGCGGTTATGGAGGCAGAAGTGTCCACACCGTACAGTATCCTGCAAAAAAAATGTCTGAAGCACAAAATAAACACACTCCAGTGCGCAGGGTCAGCCAAAAATGGATTTCGTTGATTTGAAGTTTCCCCTCCTTTGTGAAATTCCTCCCCCAGGAGCCAAGAGCAGGAACGGGATGCTCCCAGCTGACCCAAGTTTTGAGGGCTAGTCTGAGTTCTAGAAGGATGCTTAAATTTTAAAATGAAATGTTCAGTAAATGGGATTTCTTTTATAGGAAAATATTTTAACCACATTCTTTGAATTTAAGAGTATTTCCCCAAACATTAAAAAAAAAAAAAAAGGGCATATCAACACAGGGTTTATTGTGGTGGTTTTTTTTTTTTTTTCCCTTCTCAAAGGAATCTCATCCATCAAATCTCCGAAGCCCCAGTAATAAGGTCAAACTGTATTTGGTGGTCTTTGTTTTTGAAATGTCACAGTACTGCCTTTTTTTCCCCCAAACTGATGTACTGATTAGTTTAAACTCAAATTAATGGATGTTGCAAAAAAAAGAAAAGGGTGTCACTCAGAATCCCTGATTTAACAGCCACTCTTACATATACTCTTCAACTTTTAATTTTCTTTGGGGAGTGGTTTAATCTGAAAGCAAATAAAAAAATTCTCCCAGTAGAAGAAAATCAGTTGTTACCAGGAAAACGTGGAGATCCTGGTCATAAAACCCATTTAGTTTTTATTCCATTTATGTTTGCTCTTCAAGAAAATTCGCCCTCCCCCTCCCCAAGGCTTTCTAATTCAGTCTGTCCTGTCTCCCAGATAGGGTTTCGATTTGCTCTGAAGGTTTAAATTTTCGATTCTTGACAAGCCAGAATTTAAGTAGAGCTATTTCAGCAAGCCACTCCTGTGAGGCTTTTCCTTAGCCAGGAAGGCTGATCCCAAGGGAAAATTGTTTTGCACCTGTGGAAATGAAGGCTTTCCCAGCTGTTGACTACCTGGCAAGTTAGAGACGAATGGTTGACTCTGAGCTTGTATGTTACCATCTGGTTGAATTTGTGACAATTTCATATTGAGCTGATTTAGTCATTTATCATTTACAAATGCGCCACTTGCTCTCCTTTCTCTTAGACCTCTTTTCCCTCCCCAGATGGGAGAGAAATGGAAATCTCAAACAGCCTAATTCGTTGTTCACTTTCGCCACGTCCACCTTTTTGGTTGTTACTGAGTCCCCCAAGAAGCATCTCTTGCTTGTAGGCATGTTACAGTAAATATCACTATGGTGAGACTTCATGAAACTGTTTCCACTTCCACGCCTCCTTGGCAGCTTTCGGTCAAACCAGTATGCCAGAGACCCTAATTGTGGTCCCTGGTGGATGCTGTCTTCTGGCACCGGAGCAACTGGTTCTGCAGCAACTGGTTCTGACTCGGTGAGGCGGTTGAGTAACTGACAAGCGAATTCAGAGCAAATAGTTAAATGGCTGTTTCTATACGAGTGGGGCACTCGCCTGTACCTTGGCAACAGGACTACTGACACAATAGAAGGGAAGGATGGTTTCTGAGATTTCTGGCAGTTGGAATTTAATAAGCTGCTCCGCTGACGCAGTCTGCTTATTGGTGGAGGGAATCCTGTCAGAATAAATGGTTGGAGGCTGGTTTCATAATTAAAGCCTAATGGAAAGAGTGGAGAAGCTGCTGGCTTCTCTGGGTAGCAGAGAAAGTTCATTTGGATAAGTTAGGGTAACAACACTTCATGGATTTGACTTTCTGTATTGCTCTGCCTAACCTTGGCTGTAGCCCTCTCGCCTTGGCTGTTTAACCAAGGCACATTCTTGAAGACACGGGAAAGTTTTTTGTGTTGATTTAGGAATGAGGTCATGTGGGCAGTTTTTTTTTTAAAAATGTGTCTTGGTGGGTCCATGACAAGAATGAAGATGGCCTCTTGGTTGGTGTGGAGTAGCTGTGTGCTGCTGTTAGAGTAATATTGTAGCGGAACGCAGGATGTTTGCTCAGAACTGACTTTGTTTCTTTTGGCAATTGAGGATCTTTTTGTTATTATTTTGGTCATTTTTTGTCTGTGTGAGTTGTGACTCAGCTCTATTTGGAAGGCAAGTGGCCGAGATCTTCTGGACACTGGAGGTGGGGTCTGGATGTGAAGGCACATTGTGGGTTCAGGAGGCAGATAAGACTGTTGGGGGCCTGTGCCGGGCACCCACACAATGCCCAGCACCCAGTGACTCTTTTTTTTTTTTTTAAATCTTCCTCCTGTCCTTCCTAGAGAAAACTTCTAGATAGAACCTATGGTCTGGTGTGTTAACAGAAGTAATAACCTCTGTGTTTTTGAAGGAAGCCAAATTATCTTTCACCTTTTAGGGTGTGGTCAGCTTACTTAACTGCAAGGAGCTGATCAAAGTTGAAACTAGGTAGACGCCATCTTAAGGCACTTCTTGCTTGCTCCACAGTCTTACTACCGCAGCTAGGGTAGTCTGACTTCACATGGACTCCCTTCCTGGCTCGCCTTTTGCAATTAGGATGAGTCAGTGCTATCACCTTAAGCAAGGCCTTTACCTTTCCAGAGTTTGTGAGATAAATGAGCAAGATCCCACCCAGCTCCAGGATTCTCTTGCCCCTGCAGGTTCAGCTGAGTTGGTTCAGGGCTGGCTCTCCCTTCCGGCAGCCAGACTTGTCCCGTGCTTTTCTTGGAGCAGAAATGTGTTCAGTGTGTGCAGGCAGCCCTTCTCTCACGAGAACTTTATTTAGACCTGCCTTTACCAGGTCTCGTATTGCCTTCCCGTGTCTGGCCACTGTAAGGGGTTTCTGTGGCTACTACAGTTCCCAGCTGCAAAAGAGATGCATTAAAGACGAATCTGAGGTTAGATCATGAGCCGATACAGCAGGAGAAACCCTGGCTCAGTAGCTGAGCACCAGGTCCTGGTAGTCCCAGAAACCACAAACTCCAGAGCCGTAAAGCTTAATGTGGCAGCGCTGCTGCCTGTCCCCTCCTCACAGGATTTCCTGTTCTGCTAGAGTTGGTGGGTGGCCATGGGTGTGGAGTCAGGCTGACCCCATGTGACTCGTGAGTTATTCAGCTCAAGTCGTTCTTGACAATGCTTCCCATGCAGTCAGGTGAAGGTCAAAGATTACCAGCCAGGGACCATCTGAGTGCGTCTGCCTGCTGCTGTGTTCGCTTTCCTCAACCCTCTGCTGAGAAGCTGAAAGAGGTGAAGTCACTAGTCCAAGGTCACAGAGCTCGTGGGTGGTGGAGGCAGCTTGGAACCAGGGCAGCCTGTACCCAGGCCTGAGTGTTTCACCTGACCGCTGGCCTGGATCTGGTGCAGCCCTCAG